AATTTCCAGAATTTGAAATCCTGAATCATGACATGACACTGGTGGAATTCAGGTGTTTCTGGTACATGGACTACTCTCACTCAATGTGAGGTTGAACTGTTGACCTTGTGTACATCCTGCTTCACAAATGAGTCTGTCGGATATGCTGGGCCTATAGGCTGAAGATGATGCCCCAGCACTTTGGAGAAACCTCAGGTGACTGTCCAGACAGCTGTCTGTTTCTGTCAACTCACAAATTTTTTGGAGGTTGCTTATGTGCACTTCCTGTTTTTATTTTTGTTAGCTAATATTATTTCCTTCTTGGGTCTCTGAGGGAGTTGAAGATTAGTTAGTTATAGTTGAAGGTTAGTTAGTTATAGTTGAAGATTAATTAGGATACATTTTGGACTTACAAAAATAGGATAGATAATGAAATTATTTTCTCTGAATTTGTCAAATACAAATGGACTAGACATTGTTTAGGTATTTATTACTTGTATATATTGTATATAGTTATTGTCCTTTTGTATATAGTTTTTCTTATATTAGTTATAAGCTTTTTCTTTTTTTTCCTTTTTATTAAAATAGAAAAGGGGAAATATGGTGATATTTTATTTGTATTAAAATGTTGTTTGTATGTTAATAAATAAAGTTGCCCGGGGGTCAGAGCTATTAGCAAGCCATAGGAAAGCAGGGCAGTGGTAGCGTACGCTTGTAATTCCAGCACTTAGTAGGCAGAGCTGGGTAAGTCTCTGTGTGTTCAGGGATACAGCCAGTATTGGATACACATGCCTTTAATCTTAATACCAATCATGGAAAACCTGGAGGCCTATACAGACAGGCTGTGAGGAGGCGGTCATGTGGTTGGGTTTACAACCAATGAGAAGGCAGGACAGGAACTCTATATAAAGACTTTAACAGAGGGGTAGCTCTGGTTCGGAGAGGTAGGACCACTGCAGGAGGAAGGGTAAGGTTTTGGCTCTTGGCTCTGACCTCTTGGCTTTCTTCTTTGCATTGGTTCTGTGTTTATTGTTTGATGGGAAGGTTGGATACATCTACACCCTTCTGTTGCTTGTGTAGCTGGAGCCCTGAAACAAGTTTAAATCCAGAAAACACACACACACACACACACACACACACACACACACACACTTTTCAGCATGAGCAATTATCCAAACCTATGATGGACTCTGATGACACCAACTGATTTCAGCCCATTTCCTTCATGGTGGGTTCAGAGTGAATGTCAGGACCATGACAGCATTCTGTGTGTTGGAGGGCTTAACTGGACTCTGAGATATGGGTATATGATTCTGTAACCACCCTCCCATAAGAAATGCACTTGCCATTTGATCTGTAGCAGCAGAGAGTGACAAATGAGACAGCTAGAGATGCTCCTGTAAATTTCATGATTTCTCTATATGGCTGAACGGTATTACACAGTATCTCACTTTTATTATCCATTCATCAGCGGAGGGAAATTTAGGCTTCTAAAGTGTTCAAAGTACTCATTGCCTGATTAAACACCATTGGGAGACTTGACAATTTACAATCTGTGTCTATTTCACCTGGAACTCTTTACACTACACCATAGAATTTATCCCTTGTTTTGAAAGATCCTTTATACACTTTCTCCTTTGAGTGTGTGTGTGTGTGTGTGTGTGTGTGTGTGTGTGTGTGCAATATTGTCTTTGTGCTGTGCTTCCCTGCCTTGACAACCTACATAGATATAGTACTCACCTTTGTTACTTCCTTTCCCATTTGATCTTTTTTTAATGTTGAATGTGGAACTTCACCCCTTGGTCACATGTCATTCTATCATCTATCATTCTCCTCCCCCCCCCCCTTTTTTCTTTCAAGCTCTTTAATTCTCCAAAGTTCTCACACACTATATCACACCCCACTTTCCCCCATCACTGAGATGGGGAGATATCAATATCCCACTCTCTCTAATATACAGGTCATCCAGACGAAAACAAAACAGAGAAATTCTGGAACTAAACTGATGTTATAAACCAAGGGACCTAATACGTATTTACAGAATATTTCATCCAAACAAAAAGAGAATATAGATTCTTATGAGCACCTCATGGAACTTTTCCCAAAATTTGCCACTTAAACAGATACAAAACAAGTCTCAACAGACATCTACTGAAGTATGAGTAAAAGGGAAAACATGATGCAATCTACACTAGACATGACTGTGCTCACTTATACAACTGAATGCAAGTTAATTGATAGTTATATGCAAATATTCTGGGAAAAGTTATAAATATTAGCTCAGTCATGGATAGAATTCAGAACAGATCCTTGTTTCTAGAAGACAGATTCATAACCATTCCTCATTAATTAAAGCACCTGTCCTTTTGTTTGTTTTTTTCACATTTATTTTGATTTTGATTTATGTGTGTGCACAAGTCTGCTTAAGTGTGTACCCCATCTGTGCTGGTGCTGAGGGGGCCAGAAAAGGGTGTCAAATCTCCTGGAATGGTGTTTACAGGTAGTTTAGGGTCTCATGTGATTTCTGAGAATTCAATGTGGTGATATTGTGTTCCCCAAAATATTGTACATCCTAATAAACTTATCTGGGGTCAGAGAACAGAACAACCACTAGATATAGAGACCAGAAAATGGTGGCACTCACACCTTTAATCCTAGCATTCCAAAGGTCTGTCTGGATCTCTGTGACTTCAAAGCCACACTGGAAACAGCCAGGTATGGTGACATGCCTTTAATCCCAGGAAGTGATGGCAGAAAGCAGAAAGGCATACAAGGCATGAAAACCAGGAACTAGAAGCTTTTGGCTGGTTAAGCTTTTAGGCTTTTGAGCAGCAGTTCAGCTGAGATCCATTTGGATGAGGACTCAGAGGTTTCCAGTCTGAGGAAACAGGATCAGCTGAGGAATTGGCAAGGTGAGGAAGCTGTGGCTTGTTATGCTTCTCTGATCTTCCAGCATTCACCCCTATATCTGGCTCTGGTTTGTTTTTATTAATAAGACCATTTAAGATTCATGTTACAATTCAACTCTGGTCTTATGGAAGAGCATCACTCTAAACTGCTATCTCACCTCTCCAGACCCTTTTGTTTAAATACCACACATGCCAGGAGGCTTTCTCAGTGTTAAAGTTTCAAAGTACGTGTGTTGGTTTGACTAAGAAATGTCACCCATAGGGTTGGGCATTTGAACATTTGATACCCAGGTGGTTGTGTTGTTTGGAAAATCTTGGGAAATGCAACCTTGCTGAAGGAAGTTTGTCACTCAGGGTAAGTTTTTGAGGGTTCATAGTCTCACCCCAATTCCAGTTTTGCTTATTTTACTTTATTTTTTTACTCTGTCTAGAACATGTGGCTCGAGAGGTTGTCTCTCAGCTTTCTGGTCCTGTTGGTTTCCTGCAGCTTGTTGCCTACCTTCCCAGTCATGATGGACTCTGATCTCTATAGACCTGGACACACAAAATTACCTACATTATCTGCCTTTGGTCATAGTATTTTATTACAAAAATAGAAAAGTAATTAATAAGGAAGTTAATACCAAAAATGGAGTGGTTGTTGTGGAAAAAATGATGATTGTGGTGAGATTAGAAGACTGGTAATTTGGTTGAGCGCTATAAGCAGAAGTGAATGGAGCATTTTAGTAGTAGCCTAGGAGAGCTCAGAGCTGGGCATATGTGCTTCTTTAAGATATCTATGAGAATGAACTGATATAGTCACTCATTCCAAAGTTCTGAGAGTCTTCAGTGCCAGTGTGAGGTCATGCAGTTCTGCATGTCACAATCTGAAACACGTATCAGTGAATGATTCACGGCTATCTAATGTTACTTTTTCTATTGGCTTTCCTATTCCTGAAGTTTGTGAAAGGAGATACTGCCAATACATGAAACTAAATGGTGTTGACATTTTTATTACAGTGTAGTAACACTGTGAAGTAAAATATGTCATTGTGGAGCACTGATCTTAACTGACCTTTTGCCTCAAGAAGATTAAAATCTTGTGTCACTACCCATAACAACCTAATAAGTGATAGAAATCAGTACAGTTATTGCCGGGCCCTCATGTATCTGTGTCAGAGATGGAGTGATCCGGCTGGAATCCCATAAGCTGTTTCACCAGATAACTTCACGGCTGCAACCTAGCACGTGCTCTGTGCAGCGGAATCAGGCTCCTATTGAACAAATGGTTCAACCCACCCCATCCTCCATCTCATTACCACGTGACTTTCAGAAACCCAAATACTTCCACTATTTCACATCTGTGCTGCCCCCTCCATGCTATCATCTCTCTGAGGTAATTTTTCATTTTTTCTATCCCAAAGATTTCAGTCTTGACCCCCACTATCTTTACTTTCTCTCACAAAGTCCAGAAATCACTGTTTCTGTCTTCTTCTTCTTACCCAGTATCTGCCTCCAATTCAAACATCTCAATTCATAATAGGCCATGTGTCCTTGTAGCTAGAGTTTTCCTGCCTGGCCCACAGTCAGGACAAATCTCTCTCACCTGCCAGTCCCACAGCAGCTCAGACCCAACCAAGTAAACACAGAGACTTATATTGGTTACAAACTGTATGGCCGTGGCAGGCTTCTTGCTAACTGTTCTTACAGCTTAAATTAATCCATTTCTATTAATCTATACCTTGCCACATGGCTCGTGGCTTATCAGCATCTTCTCTTCACATGCTGTTTGTCATCGTGGCAGCTGGCAGTGTCTCTCTCTCTGCAGTTAAGAATCCCAAAGACAACACAATCCAGATTCTCTGTGTAATATTCATCTTTACATGGCTTATTTTCTATATTATGTCCTCTATGACAAGCAACCTCGAAAGCCTTGGTTTTTAACTTCCATGTACTTCAAGAACTTGTGAAAATAATGAATGACCTGGTCCCTTAAATTCAGACACCTGAACCATGTCTCATGACTCTATTGTCACTGCCCTTTTGTACTGTGGGGGCCAGAGCCAGGCGTATCGCTATGAGTTCAAGGCCAGCCTGGTCTACAGAGCAAGATCCAGGACAGGCACCAAAACTACAGAGTGAAACCCTGTCTCAAAAAACAGAACAAAACAAAGCAAACAAACAAACAAAAAATCCAAAACGAAAAAAAAAAGAGAAAAGAAAAGAAAAAGAACACTTACAAGTATATACATAAGGAATAAATGGTATACTCTTTGATTCACTTTGTCACACCATGGCTTCCATGCTGAGACTTTTTTGTTGTTCTGTTTTTGTATGTTAGTTTTTGTTTTTTGGTTACTTTTTTTAAAAAATTAAATTAAATTAATTTTTTTTGGGGGGTGAGGGTAGTTGCAAGGACAGAGGACAGCTATGATGGGATGGGGAGATAAAGGGGATCGGGATGCATGAAGTGAAATTCACAAAGAATAAATTTTAAAAAGTCTAAAAAGAAAGTCCTATACTCTATGTAAAACAGCATAGGCTTGTCAAGATTCAATAATTGAAGATATTTCTATTACTATACCAACTTCACATCCTTTACATGTTAAATTTCACAGAATTTAATGCCCATCACCAAGTCATTTAACCTGTCAGCATCCCAATTCTCTAAATAACTGAACATTCTGGATTGTGATACAGATTAGCTTGTTCTCTAAAGAAGACAGCCTAGCCTAAGGACCTACACCGACTCTGGCCTGCAGAGTGTTAACTCCCATTTTTTAGAGATCTGAGGATTCTGAATAACAACTGTAATTATTTTCAAACTCCATGAAAGTTTGAGATCATTCTGGAAATCTTCATCATATATTGGCTGTATGCATAAAATGTTTTTGAGAGAAACAAATGTGTTTACTACTCAGGGAATACCTGGCAACACAAACACTCTTATGGCGACTGTTTGTTTCCTCACTATTTCCAATGTTGGTGGTAGGTACGTGCAAATGAGTGGTTTTTATTGGTGAGCTTCAGGTGAAGTGTACGATTTTACAAAGATAAGTGCTAGCAAATTATCACAACCATTTCCTTAGAGAGAAATGTGAGCCCTGTTTAATTGAACAGCAGAAGAATTTTGTTTCACACTTCAGAAATGACATTGAACTAGTTTTCTAACAAACTTGTTTTTATATCTATAATAAAGACAATAGTAAGGAGAATCTGTAAAAGTGATAAACATGCATGATGGATTCATTTAAAAAGTTATCTCCCAACTAATGGGTGATGTCACTCTGTATGTTGTGAATGTGTTGCTCTGATTGGTTGATAAATAAAGCTGATTGGCCAGTAGCCAGGCAGGAAGTATAGGCAAGGTAAGCAGAGAAGAGAATTCTGGGAAGAAGAAGGCTGGGTCAGGAGTTGCCAGCCAGACACAGAGGAAGCAAGATGTGAAGGCAGAACTGAGAAAAAGGTACCAAGCCACATGGCTAAACATAAATAAGAATTATGGGTTAATTTAAGTGTAAGAGCTAGTCAGTAATAATCTTGCGCTAATGGCATACAGTTTGTAAATAATATAAGCCTGTGTGTTTATTTGGGTCTGAGTGGCTACGGACCAGCAAGTGAGAGAGATTTGTCCTGACCTCGGGGCCAGGCAGAACACAGGAAAATTTCAGCTACACCTAACAATGTCCATTACTGTTCTTTGTTGTGCTTCCTCCTGGAAAAGTTCTCCAATATGTGTACGCTTGGTCACCTACTCTCTGGAAACAGACTAAAGAATTAAAGCTCAACTCATTTAATTTGCCTTAAGCAACAGTACTTAAGATTTCCACCAACAGAGCACTATTTACTCACAGTAAAATGACCTGCTGCGTTCACTTCTGCAATGCTACTTCGGGTATTAGTTTCAACAAGATGGAAATCCAAGTGCATAGTATAGAGTCCTTTAGAAAGACAAGTGGCTATGGAGTTAGTTGTATGTTGATGTTTTGAAAGACATGGAGAACATAAAATTTTAAGTTACTGTGAGTAAGAGACCATACAATTTTCATACCTATGATACAATTATGGGATCTTTGGATTCCTTACTCGGGAATAGCACAATTTTGGCACAGTGGTATCATGGCTCATAACAAAGGGGCCCACAGTAGGAAAACACATTGAAATGATGGCTGTGATGTTCACCAGCATCCAATCAGGATTATACATGAGAGCAATGCAACCTTGTAAGATGGAGGAGAGGGCATAAAAACCTAGAAAGGTGAACACCAGGACCAGGATGCTCTGGGTGGCTCTGGACTCGGGGGATGTTCTGGAGGAAACATGGGTACTACGGATATGTTGAACCTGCTGTTTGTGCCTGTACAAAATGACAACCATGGAGCCGCTGGACCAGATAATGAGGAGAGAAAGCAAAACTTCAGGAAAAACAAAAAAAGCTGTATACAATAAGCCTGTGAAATCATCATGACCTACAGTGGAGCAGTATTTCATATCACTCTTAGGTGTCAGATTTTTGCTATTCCCCTTGGTATATGTATACACAGGGAAAATCATATTTACTGACATGTAGAGAATCCAGCAGAAGGAAGTGAAGAGGCCGATACGCTTTAGAACTTTGACTTTAAGACCGTTCCAACAGGAGTCACTCCGGCTGATGGTGATGGCCTGGAAGACACTCACGAGACAGGTGGTACCAATGGACATGCTCCTGCCAAGTCTTTGAACATACAAAAGAAGTTTGCAGCCAAAATCATTGAAGAACCCTTTCATCTCCAAAGCCCCTGTTGTCTCTAGTGTTCCTTTAGAAGCAACAATCAAGGAGTTGGCTATGAACAGGTGTGTGAGAATCAAATCTGTGTTCTTTAATGTATGTTCAGTGTAGTAACGGATGAGGTAGCAGGAAAGAAGAGAGAAATTTCCCAGAATTCCAACTGTGCTCTGAAGTAAGAACACTATTCCTATTGTCAAATCCTTGAGATCCATTTTGTTATTTAGCACTTTTCCACCTAAATTATGGCAAACAATAAATTCTCTGATCAAAATGATGACTTGAACATTTGTAGCTTTTTTTTGTTGGTGGGAAAGAATTACATATGTTCAAGAGTACAAGGCTATTGTGGGTAACATAGCAAGATCCTGCCTCAGAAATATCTTGACAAAAATATTTTGTTACTGTTACTGCTGAAGTCTTTCAGAAACTTTTCCTAGAATGTCAGAATTAAGAGTATGACTGGTAGGGGCCTGACCTAGATCCTCTGCATATATGTTATGGTTGAGTAGCTTGGTGTTCTTGTGGGATTCCTAACAATGGGAGCAGGGAGTGGTCGCTGACGTTTCTGCCTAATTATGGGACCCTTTTTCTCCTACTGAATTGCCTCTCCCAGCCTTGATGTGATTGTATTTATCTGGTCTTAGTGTAGCATATTATGCTGTATTTGGTTGATGTCCCTGGGAGGTCTACTCTTTTCTGAGGGGAGACAGAGTGGGCATGGATCTGGGCAAGAGGGGAGATGGGATGGAGAGACTGGGAGAAGGAGACAGGGAAAACTGCAGTCAGGATGTAATACACGAGAGAATAATAATAATAATAATAATAATAATAATAATAATAATGATAATGATAATAAAGAGTAGGGCCAAATTGCCCTGGGAGAAGCAACAACCAGTGAGTAGAAATGGAAAGGATACTCACTTCTAAATTCCATAGAGAGTTGCTATTTAGAAGTCATAATGGGGAATAAAGAGACTTTAATAAAACTCTTCAATGTGAAAGAAACCCATAAATTTCTCATCTGAAATTTAAACCTAAATAATGAAAACATTTCCCCACAACAATGTGAACATTTCTCTATTCTTACATAATATAATGTTTATTATGCAGTGAAAACAAACTAATCATGTAGTCACTAATCATAAAGTGACACTTGAGACTTTACCCAAAGAACTAGGTCTCATCAAATTTCGTAGAAAGATGCAGGTGTAGGCATGCATGCTTGTTCACACAGGGAAGTAACTGGGGAGAACAGAAACTCACTCAGGAAGTATTCTACGTGGAAAACTCTTACTAAGTAGACAACAGAAGGACAGTACATGAATCGTTTCAACAGAAATCTCTGAAAAATGAGCACTCTTAATAAGGAACAAACAAATGATGAATGACTGATTTTCTTACAAGATTCACTGTCTAATGTCCTAGTGCAGTAGCAGATATGTAAAGTAAAAACTGTAGAAAACGCCAGCTCTTTGTATGGATGTAGATACAGCAAGCATCTCACGCACAGATATTGTGATCACATTGAAACAAACATTTTGGAATGTGAGAAATTATGTATAACAAGAGATACACAAAACCACGTGTCAGTCATCCCACACTTGTGACCTGGCCTTCAAAGTTCACAATCCATAGATATGTAGATTATGCCTTTTAACTTTAGACCTGCCACATGTCCTTTAAGAGTTTGCATACACAGCTGATTTTCACATGGTGCTGTACTCTGCAGCAATGTAAGTAAAAAACCAAGGTATTCACACAAAACAAATGGAAAGGAAAAGTTCATACATTATGATGCCACTTAGGCAAAGCACAACACAGATCAACAGCTTTCCAGTCTCTTATAGGTTAACATGTGTCTATAAGCCATAATCCCTCCCCTCACCAAAAACCTAGCAGGACATTCTTACCAGTGACATGATGTAGGATTTTATAAAGCTAATTGGTAATTTCATATTTCTATATCTTTGGTGAAGGATTTCACAAAGGGTCTCACTTTGTAATGCAAGCTGGACTGGAAATTTCTGCAATCCTCCTGTGTTAGCCTCTGGATTCTTGGGATGGAGTGTTAGATATTACATTGATTCTCAGATATTACACAGGAAAAATAATATTTGATACAACAGTGTAGCCTGAAAAGTTATTACTAGGTTAGGGAAATGGCTCAGTTGGTAAAGTCCTTGCTTTGTATATGGGAGGGCCTAAGTTGAGTCTCCACAAGTCATTAAAAAAAAGCTGTGTGTAGTAGCACATACCCGTCATCCAAGCACTGGAGTGGAGGTGTCAGGAAGATCCATAGGGCTTACTGACTAGCCAGCCTAGAATATTCAGAGAATTACAGCCCAGATGGAGACTTTGTCTAAAAAAAAATAGTATAATGAAAATGTGTAAATGTAAAAAGTGCCTGAAGAAGAACAACTAAGCTTGTCCTCTGACTATACACACACACACACACACACACACACACACACACACACACACTGTGAACCTGCTCCTGAACTCATGCATACTTGCCCATGGACACACACATGTGCACACATACACAGAGAAGAAACTAAATTATTATTATTACCAATTTATATTTAAATGCTTACATTTATTAATCCCTTAAGTCAAACAATTCGTAATAGATCAAGATTTTGGAAAGAAACTAAACTACAAGATATTCATAGAATCTGAAGATTACCTTTGCAGTTTGTGTTTTTCCAACTTCTGAATCCCTTTTCCAGATATGGGCATGTACACAGACTTCCTTTCTTATTTGTTCTTTTTTTCCCCAGACTAAATACAAACTGCTCACCTGATTCCTCAGTGCAGAAACCTCTGTTCAGTGTGCACTTCGTGGCATCCTGAAATCCAGCACCATTATGATGGAGGCATTATCCACCGTGTGATAAAGGTCTGTGGCTGTGACCTCACCTCCCTTCTGAACTGCAGCTTTTACTTCTGCAGTGACAATGACAGTTCTCGCTTTGGGAGTCAAGAACTCTTTCAGAACTTTTTTTCACAGCTAATTGCCAAAGCTGTTTGTGAGTTTCCTGTGAGTGTCTCCAAAGAGACAGTGTTTGGAGAGGCTCTTACATTCTCATGATCTCTAAAAAATGACAGTGACCCAGGATCCAGAGAATATCAAGTTCTTATGTGCTGGAGTCTTGCAGAGGGGTATATGTGTCTCATTGGGCTCCAGTAAATCTGGATTCTTCTACAAAAGGTGAAGTTGATTATAAATTATCAGATGCTGCCAGTGTTCACACATTGTGCAGAACACAGTCAACCGGGACTTCAGAGATATCTACTGAAGTGTCTGTAGGAAGAAAAACACAATGTCAGCTGGGTGGTGGTGGCGCACGCCTTTAATCCCAGCACTCGGGAGGCAGAGGCAGGCAGATCTCTGTGAGTTCGAGGCCAGCCTGGGCTACAGAATGAGTTCCAGGACAGGCTCCAAAGCTACACAGAGAAACCCTGTCTCGAAAAACCATAAAAAGAAAAGAAAAACACAATGTCATCATCTGCTCTAGAAATCTTTGCAATCTATGTCATACTGCTCACAAATTAACTGGAATGATGATATGGAAATATGCTACAAAGATTTACAAATATTACCCCACTATTTCATGAACTCTAAACAGCCCTATTCATTAAAGAATTTATATCCAATTATCTTTCACAAATGAAATCAATGTGTTCATTAAATATTCCACCAGCTGAGGTTATCTTTGCAGTATAGGGGCCTGCATGGGACTGACTTTGGCCTTCTGCATGTGTGTGACAGTGTGTAGCTTGGACTGTCTGTGAGGCTCCTAGCAGTGAGATCATGACCTGTCCCTATTGTGCTTAGCTAGCTTTTGGGAACCTGCTCCCTGTGCTGGATTACCTTGCATGGCCTTGATGCAAGGGGGAGGAGCTTGGCCCTGCTTCAATTTGATGTGCCTTACTTTGTTCAAGCCTATTGGAGGCCTGCCCCTTTCAGAATGGTAACTGAGGAGGAGCAGATGGGGAATGGGGTAGATGGGAGGTGGGGGGAAGGAATGGGAGGAGAGGAGGAAGGGGAAACTGTGGTTGGTACGTAAAATAAATGAAAAAAATTAATTAAAAACAGGTTTAATTATAAAAAATGACATTGAGTGGAAACTGGAATATCCACCATTATTTTGCTTATTTGAAAAATGTGGAGCATTAATCTTTTGTAATTAGCAAGAAACAGAAAAAGTAGAGGCTTACCATTTGCTGTCTGGCCAGTAAGTGTCCTTCTTTGAGGATTTTAGGAGAGCAGAGATACAGATCTATACAGTACACAGAAGACATCATTTCTTCTGACTGACAAGTAAGCCTGCAGTTCCCAGAACTCTCTGAGTTTCAGTAATTCACTTCAATAAAGTATAAACCGAGAAAACTGTTCTGCTCAAGGTCAAGGTTTATTAAGATAGAAAACTGCTGGTTTGAATGAGAAGTGTCCTGTACTGCCTCAGGAATTTGAACACTTGGTGCCCTGCTCTTTATACCTTTTGTAGAGGATTGGATGGTGCAATCTTTAGGGGAGAAAATGCTTCACTTCAGAGGACTTTGATATTAAAATCCTTGTGCACTTCCAGTTGGCTCTCTGATTCCTGTTGCTTTGAGGGTGTGATTACTCTGCATCCCGCTCCTGCTGCCTTGCCTGCTGCTTGTTGCTGTGTCTCCCTGTTATGAGGAGCAGTCATATGCATACAAATGCCCATAAACGTTTCCTTCTGTAAGTTGTTTTAGTTATGGTGTCGCCATAGCAACAGAAAAGCAACTAATATGTAAATTGTTACCAGATAGTGGAATGTTGCTGTGGAACATCTGACTGTGTTGGTTGTTGGAGGAAAGTGGAAGAGCTTGGAATTTTGGATTAGGAAAGCAGTTTTGAGGCCTGGGGTGGTGGTGGTGGTGGGTGGGGAGTGGGGGGTAGGGGGCTTGGTCCTACCTCAATTTGATAAGCCAGGCTTTGTTGACTCTCCATGGAGGCCTTATCCTTTCTGAGGAGTGGTTGGGGGGAGGGATAGAAAAGAGGTAGGAGGTGAGGCAATGGGAGGAGAAGAGGTAGAGGAAACTGTGCTTGGTATGTAAAATAAAAGACAAAGAAAAAAAGAAAAGGAAAAGTAGCCGAGTGCTGTGAGCAGCGTGCCACGGTCCATTCTACTTGGAACCTGGAGAACTGTAGGGTGTTAGGCCCAGATCTCGGGGATGCCCAAAAGACCACTATGGAAAATGAATCCAGCATGTAAAAGCAAGGAACCTTTATTGTCCAACGCAGCAGTGAGAACAGAGAGCCCTGAGCTCAGGTGGGGAACAGTTTTTATCATAGCAGAGGTTGGGGTAAGGGGATTTCCAGAGTTCAGGACCCTGATTGGCTGACAGTTGTCTAGGGGTATCTGTAAAGCAAAAATAGGGGTGTGCTAGACTCAAGGGCATCTGGCCACCTTATCTAATGTTTGGAATGTTTGGGATGTCAGGTCCTTCCTCATCCCTGGGTGGATCCCTGGGTAGTGTCAACTTAAGGATTTTCCTGGATCTGGGTGTTGCCTGCCAGTAAGCCTGTCACAGAAGCTGAGTCTAGGCCCCTAAGCCTGTCATGGCTGCTGTGTGGTCAAGCTATTTTGGGACCCCTTCACATAGGACTGAGAGCAAAGTGGGCTTTAAGGGCTGCCTCAAGAGGTTTCAGAGGGAATGAGGGCTTTTTTTTCTTTATTAAGAATTATTTTTATTCATTTTACATACCAACCACAGATCCCCCTCTCTCTTTCCTCCCTCTGTCCCTCTGAGCCTTGCCTCCCAATCCGCACGCCCATTTCCTCTTTCGAAAAGGTAAGGCCTTCCATGGGGAGTCAGCAAAGCCTGGTATATTCAGTTGAGGAAGGACCAAGCCCCTACTCCTGCATCAAGGCTGTGCAAAGTGTCCCACCATAGGTAATGGGTTCCAAAAAGCCAGCTCATGCACCAGGGATAGATTCTGATCTCACTGCCAAAGGCCCCTTAAGCAGACCAAGCTACACAACTGTTTCACTTATACAGAGGGCCTAGTCCAGTCCCATTCAGGCTCCACAACTGTTGGTCTAAAGTTCATGAGTTCCCACTAGCTTGTTTCCATTGTCTCTGTAGGTTTCCTCATCCTGATCTTGGTGCCCCTTGTGAATGAGGGAATTTTAACAGCAACCATAGAGAAGGTTGTATGTTATGGGAAACAAAATTGGAGGCATGTAGTATTCTAAGTCTCTTGATCCTAAATTCCCCAAACTGATTTTGGAGCTATAGGCTTTGGTGATATGTCTGCTAAGCTTCTTTCTTGATTTGAAACAGTATTTCCTCACCATGCCCCATTCCTTGTTGTTGGGATTGAAATGCATATTCTCTATCAGTCAGTTTTGGAAGAATTATTATGAGGTGGTTTTGGTGGGGCTATTATATGGGTTCATGATTAAAAAATTGCCTTGAGTTGAGACTTCTAAAGTTGTACAGAATACAGTTTGTGGCATAAGATGTCCATGGATCTATGGAGAACAGGAAAACATGTCTGGTTGTTTGATAAATGCCAGACATAGGCTTCTGACCTGCCCCTTGAAATGCTGCCCATCGGCGCTGACCTGCCTCCTGATGTAAAAGCCTCATTTTAAGGAAAAATTCCTCCCCTTCCTCTCTCTCTTCCATCTTTTCTCCCTACCCCACCATGAGGTGTGTACACCTCTGCTTTCCCTCTCTTCTCTTTCTTCCTGCCCACCTCTTTCCATATCTTTCTCTTTTTCTCCCATTGTAATAAACTCATTTCCACGAGGATGTAGCACCTGGGTTGTGAATGAATGTCCAGCCCCTACCAAGCCCACATAGTGTGTCTTGCCTGTCACCCTCTGCTTCATCTGCCCAGCATGCCAGCATGTTTTCCCTCACTTGTGGGATACCCTGGCTTGCCAGGTTCCCCTGAGTGCAATAGCGTAACAGTGTGTATCCTTGGTTCCTCATTGGTGGTGCTCTAAGGAGAATTTATGAAATATACAGATGGTGTGTCCTTGATGGAGGGAGTGAGAGTTTATAGCATCACCTCATTTATATTCCTTTCTTTGCTTCCTGTGTGGGTACAAATGAGATCTCTTGGCCTCCTGTTTTGGTTATCTGTTGTCATGCTTCTCTCTCCTTTATCTTCTCCCTCTTTTATGCATGTTCCCCCTGGAACCATTAGCCTGAATAAACAATACCTTCCATAAGTCAGCTTCTCCATGGTAATTTAGCACAGCAACAAAAAGTAACTGCCCCATTCTCATGCTGACATGCTGCTGTTCTCCTCAAATCCCTTTATTTTTCTGTGTTCATTGCCTTCACCCCCTGCTTAACTCTTCTTAGCCCAGTTGATTTTACTGACATGGTTGGAATAAAAGTCATTCAATCAGTGTTTGAATCCATGGTTCAAAACTGATGGCACCGTTTAAGAAAGTTCTTGAAGTTTTGGGAGCTAGGATCTACCTAGAAGAAGCATGTTATTCCTAGAAAAGACTGTGTGCTAAGAACTTTGCCTCTTAACCCCTGGCACCTAGATTGAGCTCTTCCAGTGTTCTGGGATCTTGACTTGGGTTTTTGTTGTGTTTTCCAGTCTCAGTTGTATGGCTCTTTCTAGTAACTCTTTCAAGTGCGTGACTAGTGCTGTAGTTGGAATCTCCACTTTATTACAACCTACACAAGCAACATACTCAGTCTGTCATACCCATGAAGAACAGCATGAGTAAGAAGACATCACTGGTGGTAAACATTTATTGAGACTAATGCTACAAAATAAGATGAGTGAGGACAGTAAACAGAATGGTAGTCTTTCATATTAATAAAAGAACAAAGTGAAGACCCAGTTTACATTTCCACAAAAAATATTACCCTCAATATAGAGATTGTAATTACACCAGTAATTTCCAGCCATATACATGGTTCCAAAAACTTCTTTGTAACTCAATCATAAGCCTCACATAGGAACCAATTGCAAACCTTCAAAGGGTACAGCCTTTTTGTCATCAAGAATTCTGGCAGGAGTGACAAACTGAGATGCTACTCTGTGTCTCACAACATGTAGGGGACATGTATGCTGAGATTAATGCAACCAGGAGATAGATTATTTGTGTATGTGCACCAGGGTAACTGAGATCTTTTGGCTGCAGATTGAACAGCAGTGATTCCTATTGCCCAGTTCTTGGACTCCATTCTGTCATTCAGCAATTTTCCCTTAAATTATCACAACAAACACATCTCAGAGTCAAATAATTCATTGAGCATTTCTAGGCTTCAATGTGTTGGTGAGAAAAAAAATCACTTGAGCTCAAGATTACAAAGCTACAGTATGCAACATAGCAAGACTATGTTTCAAAACAAATGTTTTATTATCATTATAACGTTCAGTGGACTACACATGGTAACTCACGCCTCTAATCCTAGTATTACAGAGGAAGAGGCAGGCAAATATCTGTGGATTTGAGGCCAGCCTGGTCTACAAAACAAGTTCTAGGGTAGCCAGGGCTATTATACAGAGAAACCATGTCTCAAAAAGACAAAAATCAAAACATGTCTCAAAAAAAACCCAAAAACAAACAAACAGACAAACAAAAAACCCCAAAAACAAAACAAATGAAAACTTTCAGTGAAACTTTAGAAATTGATAAATGCACATATTTATGGGTAGAACTCCCAGTACACTTCTTAGAAATATAAGCACTAGGAAAAAGTGCAGGCCACCCTGGGAGAATCAATAGCTAGTTAGTTCAAGTGAAAAGAATGCTCACTTCTAAGGTCCAGAATGAACTGCTCTTTACAAGTCACATTAGGAGAAAAGAGACTTAAAATCACTATTTTCAACATGAGAGAAATCCATACAGTCCTCATGTCATAGTGAAGCATTAAAAAGTGAACACATTACATAATAGTGTGAGTATGTATTCTTAGTGAAAATGTTTATTGTTCATGGCAAAAGACTCTAACCATAAAGTTAAGTTAAAAATTAGGACATGTTACACTGAGAACTAGCTGTCATCAAATTTCACAAAAATCTCATAATTACATGCAAGCCTACTCATTTGGAGTAAGGGTGTGGGAGAGAGCCACAGTGAATATATTCCATGTGTTCAGCTCTTACCTAATTACAATAGGATGAAAATGGTAAATCAAATCAACAAAAGGTTGAGGAATAAATAAGAAAAAAAGTCTAGTGTTCTTATTAGATCTATTGTTTGGTGTCATCCTCCAGTAGCATAAATATAAAAGAAAGATCATAAGACACACCAATTATTTAAGAATGAGGAAAAGGCTGGGCGGTGGTGGCACACGCCTTTAATCCCAGCACTCAGGAGGCAGAGCCAGGCGGATCTCTGTGAGTTCAAGGCCAGCCTGGGCTACCAAGTGAGTTCCAGGAAAGGTGCAAAGCTACACAGAGAAACCCTGTCTCGAAAAACCAAAAAAAAAAAAAAAAAAAAAAAAAGAAAGATAGTGACTAGGAAGTGTACCCTGTGTTTGAGGAAACAGTATAAGTACCCCAGCCCTCATTCAGTATAGAGAAGCACGAAATGATGCAAATGTGACAGAAAACAGCCTGGATTCTATCTTCACACTAGGATCATGGACCACCCCTCATACTCAGTTGCCAGAGTCCCTCTGCCTTTCCCTGGTGAATGACATTCATTTTCAGACTAACACGTTATTGCACAGAACACTTAAGTGGCTGCATTTGTCACATCTACTGAAATCCAGTATTTACACTGATGATTACTTACTTAATGTTTCATTATGTTCAGCGACTTCCTGGAGAACATTGGAAAGTGTAAAGACAGGTTTCCATTGATGAGTCACTGCTACAGTCCAGTTTTCCTAGCACCTTCTTGCGTTGTATCACTTTTAAAGAACTCAGTGACAAGAGAGCGCTGAATGTTATGGTAAATGGCTATCTGAATTTGGAAGGCCATTATTGGAATGTGGAGACTTGAGAAATGTTAACTTCTTAGAGCTAGGAGTAAAGAGACCTTCATCAGTTTGTGCTCAACAGTGCTCTGAAGGCCACATTTTTAAACATTCAAAGTATTTACAGTTTATTTCATTGCTTGCCATGAAAATTTGTGTTCTAAATTGCTGTCATCATAGAAAAATGTAATCTATGTTTACTGTGAATGTACATGTAAGTGTTCATGTTTAATTTTGAATTGATGAGTATAAGACAGAGTCGATATTCATTTTTCTTCTTTTTCTTTATTCTTCTTGCATATAAAACACCTTGAACGCAACCTCTCCTCCCTTCCCTCCTCTTAGTCCTCCTCTCACCGTCTCTTTCCCACAGATCCCCTGCTCCTCCATTTCCATTCAGAAAAAGGCTGGCCTCCCAGTGATATCAACTGAACATGTCATAAAAAGATGCAACAAGACTATGCATAAACCTTCATATCAAGACTGGACCAGGCAACCCAGTTGGAGGAGAAGTCAGAGACACCACCACTCCTATTGTTAGGAGTTCACGAAAAACCTCAAGATGAACAAGCACAGCATGTATGCAGAGGGGCTAGCACAGACCCCTGCAGGCTTTCTGGTTGCCACTTAAGTCTCTCCGAGCCCATATGAGCCCTGTTTAGTTAATTCTGTGGGCTGTGTTCTCCTACCGTCTTGACCTCTCTGCCTCTTAGACTCCTTCCTGCCCCTCTTCTGTGGGGTTCCTCGAGCTCTGACTAATATTTTGCTCTGGGTCTCTGTATCTGCTCCTATTAGCTGCTGGAAAAAGCCTCTCTGATGATGATTGGCTAGGCACTGGTCTATGAGTATAGCAGAATATCATTAGAAATCATTTCCTTTACTTTTTTCCCCCCTTGTCAATCTGTTTGGTTCTACTCTAGCAGCCTCTGGATCCATGCCATGCAAGCAGTGTTGGGCATGGGCTCCTTTCTCGTGGCTTGGGCCTCAAGTCAGACCAGTCAATGGTCTAAGATGATCAGGGTAAAAGGCAGTTACTATAGGGTCATGAGGCATGCATCAAGGGTCAGAGGTAGGGGGCTATATGTGTTATATATTTATTAGTTTTGCAAGAAGTTGAACACGCCTGAAACAACCACTGGTTTCAAGGTTTTTGGTCATGGAGGACATGGCTTGCCTTCCACAAGCTGCTCTCCATGGTTCTGTTTCTTGCAGGAGCAACTATGTGTGGTCCCTTCCTGGCATGCTTCCATAATTACTGAAGAGGTTTTAAATTCACTCTCCCAATGAATCAGTATGTTATGTGTTCATATTCAGTGGTTTTAGCTGAAGTGTGAATCAGTGGCTGAGTACATACTAATTAGAGCCAGAACATTTTCTGCTTCTTGACCCATCTACTTTATCCCTTGGCTGAGTTTAACCACTATCCTTTCCTTATAATGAGCCATGACCCAAACTCAATAGCTCTCTGTGTTTCCAACTTATTCTAATGAATTATTGGCTTTCAGAGAAGTCTGAGAACCAATGACTTATAGGTGTGTCAGAAGTGATGGTACTTCACACTTTTCTGTTTGTCTAAACCTCCCTAAGGTGGATACTTTGTGGACAGAAGGCAAATGCTAAACCTGTAATTTTTATGCTTCTTCATTAATTGCTGAACAATGAATAATCTTCATTTTCCTCATTAAATTTAATTATGGAATTTGATTTTATACATTCTGGACTTTTAGACTGAGAAGGTAGCACTAGGTTGTGTGACACTAAATGTTGGCTTAGTTTTTAAGAAATGACACACACATATATAAATAAATGGATTATTATAGAAGTGGGCTCTGTTCAGACTTTCTGTCATTGCAGGTACAATTACTATAATATATAGCATGTTTCCATATCAGCACTTCTAGTTATATGGTATTTTGTTATATAAAGAATGCAATGATTTCTAGTGCAGATTATGACATTGTGCTTTTCCTTTTACTGATACTTCATTGGATATCTAATAATTCCCCAAATGGGATTCTGCTCTTCTGCTGGGTGTGTTAAAGTGCCAAAACTTAGATGTGAGAAAGTTATTAACTTAATTGTTTAGTAGAAAAACTTCGTGAGGACTGGAGTCTAGTGAGACACACAGACTCCTACACAAGTCTCTCATATGACAGACTGATACTTTCTACAACTTCCATACGAGATGTTGTCAGCCTCTGGGGATAATGAAACAGTAAGAGCTTTGTTAAGCATATTGTTTTTGTGGAGACTCTCAGAAGAAACTCATAATTGCTTTTGGTAATTATCAGTCAAAGTTTCAGAAAACTTTTCAGCTACTAATGCCAGTGGAGACACTGCCATGGCAAGTGAAAGCAAAATTGCTTTTCTGAAGGGACCTGAAATCACAGAGCCACAGACCTTTGTCCCAGGTTTCACCCTTCCTCCAAGTGCTGCCTGTGGTACAGTGATGTTCTGTAGATGAGTCTCAGAGGAAGGAACCAGCTGACTGTCTTTTACTCAAGGAAGTGATATTACATTTAGCCTAAACAAAACAAGTGCAGTGAGGGAATACACCTGGTGTTGTCTTATTATCTTTGGTTGTGAGAAAGAGCCAAGAATATTCCTCCCTGGTTTCCACATTTCCCACAGAGAAAATATGGACATGTCAGGGCATTCCCTTTAAGTTCTTGATTTAAACTCCATCCACTTACCATAGTTCATGTAATTTTTTTTTCTAAAAGTATACCTTGTGAGAACTTTGTGCACTCTGCCCCATTCTTAGTTCACAGCTTTCTTATGCAGGCACCCATCAACCCAGCAGTGACTTAGTTTCTATGCCATACTATCTCACTACAAATTAGTTTTCATTTTGTATATATGAAGGTCAAAGGATACTAAGTAATTTCATAGTTATGGCTGTGTTTCCTTTCCTGGAATCATAACAAATAAATATATTTGATTCAAACTGACCTTGTACTGGGACACTTGCCTGTGGGATGAGACAAATATTTTAACATTGCCTTTTTACATTATGATGTTAAATTGGTATACCATGCCATTTTATGAGAAAACCTGAATGGAAGTTGAGTGTTTAACATTGTGGCTGACAGCATTTTTAAGCTCAAATGTAGGTGACTGTCTTTGCACACAGCCTGATGTTCATATGTTTCAAGTCTCTTAACTGCCCACAAAAGCCTTTTAAACCTGAACAGTCATTTTCCAAAAGTTCCCTAAGGTCTTTTCTTGGCAATGAACAGAATGCCATTGTCTACATCAAACATTTATACAAGTTACAGAAGGTACAAGAACAGGGTTATAGCAGGATTATAACAACAATTCTTAGACTGTCACATTGGTTTGCAGTTTTCAATTTAGTTTTACAAAGCTTCTTAACATGATGGAACTGTACATATGCATCAGTGAAAGTACAGTATGGTTGATGTGGTAAGTGCAGCCAAACTGTGTGCTCCTGTGCAGAATCATGCCATTCAGAAGAAAAATGTCAGTCAATGGAAGTTTTCAAAGTGACTTCCAGATTGAGAAATTGGAGTGGTTCACACATCTCTGTGTGCTGCAGGAATTTGGGTGTTTTCTCTCTCCTTTGATTCATCAGTTTCTTGTCTAAAATGAAGGATGGATGAAACCATTACCCTCAATTTTGTAACACGAAGTGCATTCCACTTCTTAGCCATCATATCTGAGGGTGTCTCTTGGATCTTATCCATTCTTAGGTTGAAGAAATTACTAATGTATTTTTTTTATCCTAGCTATGGCCAGTTGTTTTTATTAACATGATTGCTCATTGCTTTGAGTATGTCAAGCCATCTCAGTCAACATAGAACTCCAGGTGGGATAAACTGTAAAAAATTCTGAGTGCAGGGGGTTCTCAGTTTTATCATGTATACCCTGATAGATGTTAGTGTTTCTCTGTATGTGATTCACAAGTGTCCCATAAAACAAATATTCAAGTCAGTTTCCTAAAGAACCTCATAAAGAGCTCTCAGTATGCATTCTCATTAATATTCACATGTGTTCAGGTGTTCCTACAATTAACCAGCAATAGCTCAAACACTTTCAATGAACCATTTCAAGAACTCACAGTCTGTTTTGTGATATATAAGTTTCAATGAAATAAACATTTTGAAGTTGTGGGCCCACAGCTCAGCTGGTAAAATTACTGAAATTTGTATAGAATATCAAGAAGCAACATATTGGCTGGATATAACAGTCCCAGGGAACCAGAATATGAAGCAGGAGGATTACTGAATGTTCCTGATCAGCCTGGATTGCAGAGTGATCTCTTGACTGAAATAACCCCTCAAAATGAGAATTTTTAACTAGCGCTGTGATAATTCTAAGTCATTTCACCAATAACAGAGTTCTATTTAGTTTTTGGTGGGATTGGCGGTTTTAGGACCTAGTTTTCTCTGTGTATTAACCTTTAAGGGACTGGATCACTTCCTGGTGTTTTTCAGTGACTTTGATTTTGTGATGTATTGCTAGTTTTGTTAACACTGCTGCCCAGGACGATGCTGTGTGAATGTGAATTGAGTCAGTGTGATGTTAGTAGGCACATAATGGTAGTGGTCATTGGTTTGAATCTATCACTTCCATACAAATTCGGAACTTTGTCTTTGAATGCAAAGACATAAGTGCATGATTGATGTGTAGGCTTTTGTGTAATCCAGTTACACAAGATTCTTATTTTACAAAATATTACAGCAGAATGTCCACTATCATCAGTATTTGAGATACCCTCTTAATTTTCTCTTTTATTAAACATACATTTTTTTTTCTCATAAAATATACCTTGATCACAGTTTACCTTCCCTCTACTCCTCCAAGTTCCTCTCCACCTCCTTTCCTATATGGTTACACTTCCTTCCTATCTTTAATTAGAAAAGAATGGGCTTCTAAGAGACAACAAAATGTAATAAAATAAAATATAATAAAATAAAACAAAAACTATCCCATTGAATTTGGAAAAGAAAAAAACAACAGAAGACAAAGAATCCCAAGAGAAGCCATAAGAATCAGAGACCCACTCACTCACACACTCAAGATTCCCATAAAAATACTAAACTTAAACGATAATATATATGCAGAGGCTCAGGTGCAGATCCATGTTGGCCCTATGCTTGTTGTCTCTGTGATTTCATATGAACTTTGCTCTGTTGATTTAAAGGGTCTTGTGCTCTTGGTGTCTTCTAGCCCCTCTGGCTCTTTACTCTTTCCACCTTTTTACCTCAGGGTTCCCTGATCTCTGAGGGGAGGGATTTGATGGAGACATCCCATTTAGAGCTATGTGTTCCAAGGTTTCTCTTGCTGTGTAATGTCTGGCTATGGGTCTCTGTTTCCGTAAGCTTCTGGAGGAAGCTTCTCTGATGATGGCTCAATAAGTATATAAGAGTGTGGTAGAATATCACTAGGAGCAATTTTTTTTCCTTTTTTTTTTTTAGACAGGTAGTGTTTGGTTTTGTCCTAGGTCTATGGGCTGTCTAGTCTCTGGCTGGTGTTTACATTTCTGTTTTGGTAGCCAGCAGGGTCCCTTCTCATAACAAAAATACTTGGACATAGGGGTGAAGGTTCTATGCAGCAACAGCTCTACCTCTTCATGTTCAGAGTGTGGTGGGTGTTGTCTTCAGCAATGATGTCTTGCTGTTAGTTTGTGGAAAGCAACCTATTATTTTGGCAATTTTGCTAGTAATTTTTGTAAGACTTATTTTCCTCACATATTTTCAGTTAAAAGATGGACTCAAATGTATGTTTCTGCTCCAGTCCCTGCATAACTGAGACTGGAATAGTTGTAGACAGGATAATGGTGCCATGAAAGGATTTATGTTTTCTTTCATTTTCTTCGTAATTATAGTTTTCAGCGTTCTCCTGAAGAATAGGACCAATATGATGAATGCCTATATGTACCTTATAAATATTAAATAATTTATTAAATCAGTTTATGCTAAAATTTAATTACTGCCGACACACTGATGCCTGATGTTGGGTGTCTCTGCAGTTGGAATAATACCACAATGCTTGTCTCACCTTGCAGAGGTCAACATCATGGTAGTTGTTCAATTCTTTGATCTGTGTTCCTTATCTTCCCCAGTTTGGTTCCCAAACCCTGGAAAACCCTGGGGAATTTCTGGTCTTTGGACCATGGTGGAAGCCTGGGAAAAGGATAGGATACCAGTGAAGGGACTGTCAGCACCAGTATCAAGGTATATCACTTGCTGTCAAAGGAAAAGGCCAAGTAATTAATCTTCCATCTGCTCTGCTTCTTATATCTAGGCTTCTAAGAGAAGCTGTTGCCCACACTCCTGCTGGGTCTTCACACATCAACTAAAGCAATCAAGACAATTCTTGAGTTGCAACTTTCTGCTCAAATGATCTAATTTGGGGCAAGTTGACATTAAGACCAACTACAATAAGAATAAACAAACACATTTGAGAGATTGAAATGGGGACTGAAGAAATGTGAGCAGAGATAATTTAAGGAGTCAAGGATGACTATAAGGAAGAGTGAATTAATGGGGACTATGGGAAATGTCAATGACTATATAGATATGGAATATGAGTTGGGGTCAGAGGTGTGCATTATGTTCACTCAGAGTTAAGTGATGACTAGAAGTTGTGTACTGTGACATTCAAGTTTGTTAGGCCAAGATCATACAAGGAATGGCCTAACATTGGGGCTTGGTATACGTCAAGAAGAAGGCAGACAGATGTTGGTTGGTGGTGCTTACAGGAGTGGCTGAAGATAAAGAGCGGTAAGACTGATGTGTTTGGAATAGAGATAACTTCCCCAGAAAGGTGACAGAATAGAGGGTGCAGAGAAAACTAGAAGGGCTACATGAAAGTCATGCATGATGTGAGTATTGGAACTTTTAACAGTTTACATCTAGAGAGGTTGACCATATGGAGGTCTGTGTCCTTCTCCCAGACTGGAGCCTGACTCCATACTCACCAATGATGCACTTGTGAAGTTACCCTGTGTAGAAGCTACTGAGACTGCAGTCAGTCCTCTGCTCTGGCACAGATGCAGTAAGGACTTGCAATAGGATGTTGTATTAGTTATTGCTTCACTGTTATAGAATATTATCATGGAAAGCGACAGAAGGGTAAGCACTTATTTCAGAGTATGGTTTCAGAGGGAAAGAATCCATCATCACTGGGGAGTTGCTGTGAGAGTTAGGAAAAGCAAGGAGGCAGGAGCAGAAAGCCAGCTGATCACATTTAAATCAACACACAGGAAGCATAAAAATAGAGGTTATTAGGACGAGGCTATATAATTCACAAGGCCTGTCTGCAGTGATGTATTTCATCCATCAAGGAAATCTCAACCAACTAAGAGATCTTTAATAGCCCCAAGGAGTGCAAAAAAGCAGGAGACAAATACCAAGATATTCTAGATGACATTTTTCATATACATAACAACATTTTGCTTCTGTTTTGGCAATTTATGCACATTTCATGGTGTAAAATCCATTTAGGCCAACTTAAAAATTCCTCATGATATTTAACAGTGTGTACACTGTTGCAAAGTCAAATGTCCACAATCTCTTCTAAGCTTCAAGGTACTCCCTTAGCTTTGAGCCTTCGAAGAATCAAAATATAAATTAGTTATATCTAGTATGAAATGGTACAGAATATACATATCCATCCCCAAATAGTGAAGAAACACTGGACCAAATGGAGATAGAAAGCCAGCAGGCTCAATATCATATACTATAGAGCTCCATGTCTGCTAACTGGGGCTTCATTTTATGGGCTTACATGTCACAACCAATCCAGTTCTGTGCCTGAAACATACATATCCTTTCCAATTCATTTCAAACCCTGTAGGCAACTTTTCTCTGCAGATGTCTCAGGGCTCTGG